TACAGAAAAGCAGGAGATGAGGCTCTGGGGGCAAAGCTGCCCTTGAAGGACTCCATCTGCTTGGTGATACTGAGCCATTGGTGCCCTGGGACAACCAGCACTGAGCTGGGACCTCCCGTGCGATGGGGACAAGCATCCGAGAGCCTCTTCTTCCCCTTGCCGCAGCATTTGAATTCATCTCTTTCTCCCTATCCTGCAAGTGCTCACTTAAGTGAATTTAGTGATTAATAGGGGTTGTTTTCTCTCTCCCCTCAAGTTTTGAAGAGCTGGATTGATTCCATTTCCCCCTGAACCTCTGCTGGCATGCATCAGGCAGATATGCATTTCATTAGCAGTCCTGGCTATGGCCCGGAGGCCTATGAGGAAGGCAGGTTGGGTTTTTGGGGGATAGAATTAGTAAATGCTGTGCTAGCTGGTTGTAATCCCTTCAGGGTTAAAGCTTCCAAGCGCTGTGTGGTAATAGGAGACCTGTGTTGCTGCTTTTCAGCTGAGTAGATGGAGAATTGATGCTCCCCTCCCTTCAAAGAGCAGCCCTGCGGCAACAGGAGCTCTTCCAAGGGTGAGGAAGGAGACATCGCTCACGGGGTTGAGGAGGCAACAGAGGGGGCCTGGGTGCTCCGGGTAGCACATGTCAGGGGTGACCCCCTGCTCCTTCCTGCACTGGGAGTTTCCATGATGCTGATGCTCTCACTGTAGCATCGCCGCTTTGCTCTGACCCCATAGGGGTGTTTCCGGATGTTATCCTTCAGGGGAGAGAAGTTGCCTTCAGGGAGCTGATGGTGGATGGAGGCCGCACAAAGACCAGTCTGTTTTGTGGGAAATCCCAGTTCCCACTGGCACCAGAGCTTTTCCCATGGGATCCCACGATGGAGAAGGGGCAGTTGGGGTCTCTTTGGGATGGGTACTGATGGGTAAGACATGCCTGGCGGCTAACACAGGCACTGTGGCGGGTCTTAGCGCTCAGGTTTCAGCCTCTTGCTCTATTCTCCTACCCTCCTGGGGCATTCCTGTCCCTGGACCCCCCTTTGCCACCAAAGATCTCCCTTCTTGGCGTTGCTTCTGCAGCTTTTCCGGCACCCCGAGCTCGCAGCAGCCTCTCTGCAGACAGAGGTTGCGGCTTTCCGCGCTCCCACCGCTGCCAGGTGAGATGCTGAGAGCAGCCCGAGGATGCAGAAAGCATCACACAGAGCTTCCGCTGCTGCTGCAGCAGGGCCCGGGTGGGTGCCACAGCCCTGTGGGGTGACACGTGTCCCTCGGGTGCTGCTGCCCATGGGGGACACGTGGAGCTGCAGCTCTCCCATAGGGCAGCATTGGTGGGGCTGGGTGAGTTCAGCACCCAGGCGCATTCTGGGTTTCAAACCTGCTTTTTCAGCAGCACTAAAGCTGGTTTTACTCTTTCTGCCCTGTTTCGCCAGTGTGCCGCTGATCCCCATCCATCCCTGCGGGTGGCAGAGCCCGCATCCCTGCTTGCACCTTCCCAATGAATAACTCACCGTGGCGGGATGCTCTGGGTCCCCAGGGAGGGAATGGCAGCCCCGTGAACTTCCCACTCTCCTCGGCTGTCCCTGGCCATCCCTGCCCGGGCACGCTGGAGGAAGCCATCCATTCTTTTATGTGCGAAGGCACGCCGGGCGGAAACGCTTGGAAAGGACATTCCAAGTCTGGCAGGAAAGCGGCCCCTCTCGTCTGGCAGGAGATGGGCTATTGTCTGTCCCGGTGGCCGGCCGGGATTCCTCGGGCCCTGCTTGGAAGAAGCCAACGTGTGTGTGTGTGCCTTGTTTTCCCCTCTGCCCTCCCTGTCTCAGGGGTGCCGGGGGCTGTGAGCGCTGCACGTGGATGGGGTGTGCTCGGGGATGGTGCTGCACTGCCCTGGCTCATTGGCATCGCTCTGATTGCTCACGTGGTTGTTCCCCTTCGGGTTTGTGCCCTGCGTGTCTCTGGGTTCATCACCTAGGCCGTGGTGGCGGGATGCAGCCATGGGATGGGGGGGTTTGACTTGGGATAACTGGGTACCACGCTGGGATGCTGAAGGGAAGAGTCTGCTGTAATGCAGATTTGAATCTATCTATCTATCTATCTATCTATCTATCTATCTATCTATCTATCTATCTATCCATCCATCATCTATCTATCTATCATCTATCTACCTATGTATTTATGTATCTATTCTCTATCTATCTATCTATCTACCTACCTACGTACCCATCTACGTATTTATGTATATATGTATGTATATATCTATGTATGTATGCATCTATCTATCTACCTATCTACCTACCTACCTACCTACCTACCTGTCTGTGTACCTGTGTATCTATCTATCATCTATCTGTCTATCTATCTATCTATCATCTATCTGTCTATCTACTGATAAGATTTCTGCTGGGACTGAGGAGAAAAAGCCCTGAGAACCTCCTCTCTGCCCTGGTCAACCTGATGGGCAGGTTGGGGCTCCCCCAGCCACCCCCTCTTAGTGCCCTTCTCTGGGAGCCCTTTGCTATTCCTTGGGGTGGGATCAGCCCAAGGGGGGAGTGCTGGGGTACGGGGCAGGGTATGAGACCATTCCTGCACGATGGGGCTGATGAAGGTGGCTGTGCTGATGCCCCCACTCTCTTCCTCACGTCGCAGTACAGGAGGCTCAGTGTATTTGAGGCTCTCTGGCCTCCTGTGCTGATACCTTTGCAAAGAGCTTGGGTTTCAGAAACCTCTGGTCCTGCTTCATCCCTGCCCAAGCCATGGGCAGACAGAGGCAGCAGACACAGGCAGATGCCCTCTACAAAGCCAGTGCTGCCCAATCCATTGGGAAGAGGCTCTGGGTCCTGGAGGGGTCTCAGCATCACACTGGTACCGGGCAGGGGGAGGCTTTGCTAGCCCCTTACCCCCATTCCCTGGGGTTCTAAGGCGCTGTGCAGCAGCCCAGAGGGGCAGATAGGATCTGCTGGCAGGCAGGAAGGGTGGCACGGCCACCCGGAGAATGGCAGGACGTGCCGTTCGCGGGTACGCATGGGGAAAGGGAAGCTGTCGCCATCCCAAGAAATCCTGGCCCTTGGACTTGCTGGGATGGGGTTTGGAGGCCCAGGGAGCCCACAGGGCATGGGTGCTTTAGGGTTTTGGTGCTTGTGGGGTTGAGCCCCTCTTGTGCTCCCCAAAAGGTCCTCGCCAAGGACTCATGGGTCCGGTTTGGTCCTTGGTCCATCCCAGCACCGTTCCCTGCCTCCCCATCCGCCCTGCCTTAAATGGGGAACGTTAAAGCATAGATCTGTTATGCTCCCAGTGCCAGGCAATTGTTCCATCCCTATTGTCTGCCACAGGCAGCCCCTGAGCTCAGCACCTGAGCCCCAGCACCAGCCCTGTAACAAGATAACGGAGCTGGTCTCTCCTTTTTCTTCCCTTTTTTTGTTTGGCAGAGCGTGTGATAAAGCCACAGTGAGGCCCCTTTCAAACAGCCTATTAAAGTACCAGCCCCATTTTAAGAGTAAACTTCCAGTGGCACCGGGAGGTTCAGGACAATGGGAATGTGACCTGCTGGAGGAGTGGGATGCTGCTTTTGTGCCTGGCAAACTGAAGGCACCGGAGGCATCACTTTGTGCTGCAGCACGGAACAGGCACATGGGCAGCATCCCATTGCAGGGCAGACCTGCAGGATGCATTGAGGAGAGGGGTTTTTTGCCCTTAAAACCCCAAAAAGAGTGGAATGAGGAAGCATTTATGGTCCTGACGTAGGAAAGCACCCAGAGCATGATGCTGCAGGCACCATGCATCAGTGCCTCAGTTTGCCCACAGATCATGGGCAATGGGGCAGGGCAAACCCCACCTTTCGGAGCCAACAGAGCCATGGGCACAGCTTCCTCCTTGGCTGAGGCAGGTGATGGGCTTGTGGCCACGGCTCAGCCACCCCACCACGGCCTGGCCAAGGTGATGCAGGGCAGGAAGGGCCGGTGCAGGATACGGGGCGATGCCGATGATGATGGGAGGAAGCTGCGGGGCTGGGGAGCGCTGGTTTGTTCAGCACAGGGCAAGGGAACCGAGATTAAACAAGGCCCCGCTAAGATCAGAAAGGCTGGCGCGCACAGTGCCCTATTGTGGAGCTGTCACACTTCCCTTTACTTTATTGCTTTTGTCCAACACCCCATTGTTCCACTTCCTTTTGTCCCCTATTCACAGCCCTGGCTTTTCATTACCCAGCCGGCCTTGTTGTTTTCGTTTCTTTTGTTTGAAGTTCCTGAGAGGAAGGTTTTATTTTCAGCAGTTTGATTAATTCGCAGCTTGAGCTGGGCTTTGTTTGTTGTGTAATTGCTGCCCCCTTGGCTCGGCCCCTCCACCCCACAGCACTCATTTGGGGCTGGGGAGATGGGGGGGCGATGACCCCGCGAGGTGGAGGATGGAGCAGAGCGCAGCGGTCCTGGTTATGGGGAGGATGCTCTTACCCCATCCCACCTCAGCAGCCCCTGTGGTCCCACAAGCCGGATCCTGGTAGTGGTGGGGGTAAAGCCCTGCCCTAATGGCCTCCTTTTCCCGTTATTCCTCCCTGCTTGAGGGGGCCATGGGGATGTTCCCAGCTCTGCTCTGGAGCCGGGCTGAGAGAGCTGGGCTGGGGCAGCCTGGAGAAGAGAAGGCTCCTGAAGGGGAGACCTTAGAGCAGCTCCAGTGCCCAAAGGGCCTTGAAGATGTAAGGAAGAAATGTATGGTGAGGGCGCGGTTGCCCAGAGAAGCTGCAGCAGGACCAGGATTTGCCTTAAATCCCATCTCTAGGTCACTTTGGTTAGGAGTTTGTTGCTCCATTCCCTTCACAGCCCAGTGTGCGACAGGTCTGTTTCCCTGGGGCTTCTGCCATCTGAACCCCTGAAATCCCTACAAATCCAAGTTAGAGAAGCCAGGAATAAGAGCTCATGGCAAAACCCCAAGTCCATTGCCATTGGAAAACCATCAGCACAGGACACCCGCTATGGGGACGGGATGGATAAAGGGGTGCCTGTGCTGAAGCCCCTTGTGTCCCGCAGGATGTCCATGAGGAGCCCCGTTTCCCCGCCGCTGGAGCTCGATGGCGCGGGCAGCATGGTGAACTGCACCATCAAGACGGAGGAGAGGAAGGAGGGAGGCCACGAGACCCCCCCGGGGGCTGCCCCCAACACCGAGCCCCATCCCTGTGACCCACCAGGACCCCCACCGAAGGACAGCAGTGACCCCCAGGCCCTGCCGCAGGTGGGTCTGTGACACACACACAGACTGGGATGGGTTCCCAATGGGCATCATGGTCCCAATGGGTATCAATAGTCACAATGGGTATCAGTGGTCCCAATGGGTATCAATGGTCCCAATGGGTATCAATGGTCCCAATGGGTATCAATGGTCCCAATGGGTATCAATGGTCCCAATGGGCTCCTGGCACGGGGGGGGTTGGTTTATTCCTAATCCTGCTGCTCCCCCCAGGGCTTTCTGGCTGTGGTTGATGCTCTCAGGGCATCCCTGTCACCTCCATACGTGCTCCATCCCTTCAGCCTCCCTTTTGCATTGCTTTTGGGTGTTCTCAGCCCTCTCTGTGTGGGGATCAGAGCTCCGAGCTGGGCAGCCTAAAACAGTAGGAACCTTCAGGAAACAGTCAAAATCCCAGCCTGGTTTGGGTTGAAGGGAGCTTAAAGCTCCTCCAGCTCCAACCCCTGCCATGTTCAGGGACACCTTCCACTGGAGCAGCTTGCTCCAAGCCCTATCCAAGTCTTTGCAGCATGAAGAGCAGAGATGCTCTCAAGCCAGGCTGGGGGTAATGTGCCTGGTCCAGCAGTCACTGGGCAGGGCTTGGGGCATCCCAGCACATCCTAGGGACATCCCCATCAATAACACTGTGTGTGGCAGGAGTCCCCCTCGCCCGCTGGCGATGCGCCGGAGCCCAGGCGCTCTGCCTTCGAGCCGGCCGTCAGCAGCCAGGACAAGCTGGACTTCAACAGGAACCTGAAGGAGGGTAAGAAAGGTTCCTCTGGGGCCTCTCCCCTTTGTGCCCCTTGGTGTGTTCCCAAAAATGGGGAAAATGCCTATTGTGGGATGGAAGAACCATCCCATAGCGTGGTGCAGAGCCTCACTTGTCCTCTCCCTGCTCTGCTGGTCCCGGTCCCTGCGGCGTGGGCAGTGATGCCAACCATTGAGAAGTTACTGTCCAGTGACTGGAAGGAGCGGCTGCTGGGCAGGAGCACTGCTGAGTCCAAGGAAGTGAAAGGTGAGCTCAACATTAAGTTGATGTTTTGGGGGGTGAGCATCCCTCATGAACACCTCTTTGTGCCTCCCCAAGCGTGAGCCATTCCCTGCCCATGCATCACCCACCAGCACCCAGTACTGGTGATGATCATAGAACCACTGCCTGCTTTGTGTTGGAGGGACCTTAAAGCTCATCCAGTTCCATGGGCAGGGACCCCTTCCACTGGAGCAGCTTGCTCCAAGCCCCTGTGTCCAACCTGGCCTTGAGCACTGCCAGGGATGGGGCAGCCACAGCTTCTCTGGGCACCCTGTGCCAGCGCCTCAGCACCCTCACAGGGAAGAGCTTCTGCCTAAGAGCTCAGCTCAGTCTCCCCTCGGGCAGGTTCAAGCCATTCCCCTTGTCCTGTCCCTACAGGCCCTTGTCCCAAGCCCCTCTCCAGCTTTCCTGCAGCCCCTTTAGGTATTGGAAGGCTGTTATACGGTCTCCCCTTCAGGAGCCTTCTCTTCTCCATGCTGGTGCAGATGAGGACCTGCAGCATCACCCAGCAGCACGGTGCTGCTCCCCCTCCCCAAGCCCCTGAGCTCTTGGTTTCCTGCAGGAACCCAGGAGAGCCTGGCAGAGAAGGAGCTGCAGTTGCTTGTTATGATCAACCAGCTCTCCACGCTGCGGGACCAGCTCCTGACGGCCCACTCGGAGCAGAAGAACATGGCCACGATGCTCTTCGAGAAGCAGCAGCAGCAGATGGAGCTGGCGCGGCAGCAGCAGGAGCAGGTGGGGGCCTATGGCAGCCTGGGAGCCATCCATCCCTTTGGGATCCCTTTGGGATCTGCTGGCTGGGGGTGCAAGGACCAGGACAGGGTCCCCTGGCAGCCGTGGTGGGTTTGGTGTCGGGGGCAGCATCACTTCTCTGCCCAGAAACCCTCGTCCCAGACATTCCCCATCTCACTCAGTGGTGCTGGGAGCACCAGTGCCAAAGCAGATGGGAGCTGCACTCTTTAGCATAATAAACCCACACTGGGTTCTTCCTGCTCTCTGCTCTTTGAACACCTTTTTCCCCTCTCTGGTGGCCCATACAGTGCTAAGGGCAGGTGATGGGGTACCCCGGGTGGGGATGACACTGTCCCTCCCAGCTGGTTTCCTTCCCTATGCCCATCAAAGGGGTTCAGGGGCAGCTCAAGGCCCTCCCCATAGCCCTCATGGGGGTGCTCTCTCCCCTCTGCCAGATCGCCAAGCAGCAGCAGCAGCTCATCCAGCAGCAGCACAAAATCAACCTCCTGCAGCAGCAGATCCAGGTAAAGGCGGGGGGCGCCCCTCTGTGTGTCCCCATTCCCATCGCAAGGGTGCCTGCATCCTCCTGGCACCCCTATGGCCCACAGTGCTCTCTGCTCCCGTCCCCTCTCCCTCCAGCAGGTCAACATGCCCTATGTCATGATTCCCGCCTTCACCCCCAGCCACCAGCCTCTCCCTGTCGCTCCCGACTCCCAGCTGGCGCTCCCCATCCAGCCCATCCCCTGCAAACCAGGTGAGTGGGGTCCCCACGCCTGCCCCGGCCCCTCGGGGTGTCCCTGTCCCCACAACCCCTCTTGCTCTGTCCCCAGCAGTGGATTACCCGGTGCAGTTACTGCACAGCCCCCCTCCTCCTGCACTGAAGAGACCCGCCGGCTCGGGCCACCTCCCGATGCAGGTACAGCCCCAAACCCCCTCCATCACCCGGGCTGGGATGCTGCAAGGGGCTGTGCATCACCCCCCTGTCCCCTGTGCCGCAGGAGACCTCGCAGCCGCTGAACCTGACAGCTAAACCCAAAGGATCCGACCTCCCCAGTGCCTCCAGCTCGCCCAGTTTGAAGATGAGCGGCTGCCAGTCCCTCACACCGAGCCATGGGGCCACCAGGGACCTGCAGACCAGCCCCTCCAACCTGCCTCTGGGTGGGTTCCCCATTGCCTTCACTGATGGATGGTCCCATGCCACCTCCCAGGGACATTGGACCTTGGGATCCCTTCTCCCTGGGGGGGGTGGGATGGGGGTGTTGGATGCTGCTGTTGATGGTGCCAGTGTCCCACCAGGGTTCCTGGGTGAAGGCGATGCCATCACCAAAGCCATCCAGGATGCGCGGCAGCTGCTGCATGGGCACAGCGGAGCCATGGACGCATCACTGAGCAACCCCTACCGCAAGGTGATGGGCACCGTCCCCCTTCCCGACCTCACCATCCACAGACCAGACCCAGGTCTCCATCCATGGGCTTGGAGCCCGTTCCTGACTCTGCTCTCCCACAGGACCACGTTGGGATCGATTCTTCCCCGGTGAAGGAGCGGATGGAGGAGACCCCTGCCCACCGGCTGGACGAGGCCCTGTTGGGCTGTGAGATGGATGGTGAGGACGGCTGGGAGCACCACGGTGTGACCCGGTGCTTGCTCCATCCTCTGGCATCCTCTGGTTTCCCTCGCAGGCTCCCGGCACTTCCCGGAATCCAGGAACAACAACCACATCAAGCGGCCCATGAACGCCTTCATGGTGTGGGCAAAGGACGAGAGGAGGAAGATCCTGCAGGCCTTCCCAGACATGCACAACTCCAGCATCAGCAAGATCCTGGGTGAGTGAGTGAGTGAGCGCTGGGGATGGCAGTGCGGGGCTGTCATCCTCATCCCCGTGGGTGGTGAGCTGCTCGTTGCATCTTGTCCATGGATGTGAGTAGCTGGAGCTGCACATTGAGCAGGGGGGGTACCTGAGGATGGATGAGTGCATGGGCAAGGAGCTGGTGGAGGACCCGCAGGCACCATGGGCAAGGAAGGGGCTTGCCCGCTGCTGTGCCTCAGTTTACCTGGGCCTCCCTGCTTGTGGGGCAGGAGCTCCTTGGGGAGGCTGGGCCATGCTAGCGGGTGAAGGACACCAGGCAAGGGGCTCACAGGAGGAATTAGGTGATGGGGGGATGTCTCTGGAGGTCCCCAGCCCAAAGCCCTGCTCCAAGCCTGGACAACTCCATAATCGCATCAGGATGCTCAGGGATGCGTCCTGTTGACTGTTGAGCACCACCAGGGATGCTGAGGATCTCCAAGCACATCCAGCTTGTCTTCCTCTCCCCGAAACCGGTCACTGGGCCAGCTGCAGCTCCCAAGGGATGAATCCCATCTCTCCACCGCCCTTCTCCCACCCTGGCTGTGCTTTGTGCTGCCCAGGGTCCTGGTGACAGTGACAATAAAGGTCAGGCAGTGCGAGCCACACCACTGGGGTGGCTACAGCACCTCCTCATCGTAGCTTGGAGAGGATGGAAAGCCATGGGTTGAGAGGCCAGGGCATGGGGCAGCCGTGTGCCATTTGAACAGGGGATGGTGTGAGCATGCATTAGCTCCTGCACTGGCTGTGCTGGCCGGGAGCCGGTGTCACCGCAGCAGGCAGGGTGTCAGCGTGGCCCCGCTGCTCCCATCCATGCAGGATCCCGCTGGAAGTCCATGACGAACCAGGAGAAGCAGCCCTACTACGAGGAGCAAGCCCGGCTGAGCCGGCAGCACCTGGAGAAATACCCCGACTACAAGTACAAGCCCCGACCCAAACGAACCTGCATCGTGGAGGGCAAGCGGCTGCGGGTGGGCGAGTACAAGGCATTGATGAGGAACCGGAGGCAGGATGCCCGGCAGGGCTACGTGCTCGGGTAACGCATCCCATCCGAGCGGGAGCAGGGTGAGGAGCATCCCCCCTGGATACTGACTGCATTCCCGTATCCCACAGATCCCAGGGCAGCCAGATGCCCCCCAGCTCCTCGGATGTGCTGTACCCGCGGCCGGTGGGCATGCAGCTGATGGAGCACTACCTGCCCCGCGGCATGGAGCCCAGCATGCCCATCATCGTCAACACCTGCAGCCTCAAGGAAGGGGATGCAGGGGAGGACGGGCACTCGGTGCCTGATGCTGAGATGTTCCGCTACAGCGAGGAGGAGGACTCAGAGGGTGAGGACAAGAGTGATGGAGAGCTGGTGGTGCTGACGGACTGAGCGGGGCCGGGGGGGGATGCAGGAGGGCTGGTTGCCACCAAAGAGGAGGTCACAGCATCCCCCCCGATGTGATGGGGCTCGGCTGAAGGGCTGCACTGGGAGCAGAGGAACACAGGAGCCGCTGCTGCCTGCCTGCAGATAGGTCCTACAGAGGTGGGCACCCAGCATTTTGGGTAGGTGCTTCCTGGAGGGGTTGATGAGCAGTGATGTGCTGCATGGCCGGGATGTGCCAACCAAGCTGGGAAGGGCTGGCTCATCAACAGGGGCATGGGCAGCTGAGGACACATGGGATGTGAGTACCACGGCTGCTGAGCATCACACTGAGAGGGACCTGAGGGTATCCAATTGTGGGGAAACCTCCAGAGCATCACCCAGGGGTCTTCTGCAGAGACAGGGATGGGGACACAGGATGGGGACTCGAGATGGGGACGCGCTCACTCAGCCCCCTCTCACCTCCCTGCTGTGTTTCCCACTTGGTCTTTAGAGCCTGCCAGCAAATTCCCATGGAGCCATTTTTAGCTCCCTCCTGGCCCAAGCACCAGCCAAGGGCTCCAAGGAGCCCTTTATGCTCCTGACAGCTCTGGCCCACTTTGCACATCAGGCGGGTGCCTGTTCCCTGGCTGCAGTGGGGGGTTCGTGTCCCATCCATCCCTGGGCACCTCCTGCCCCCAGCTCCGTGAGTCTCAGGCTCTGCAGTGCAAAAACCCCCAAAAGGGAGAGCAAAAGAGCATCCATTAAAAGATACCTTCAGAAACCCCACTTTGCTGCAGGCAAAGGGGTTTGGGTGCAGCTCAGCATGCATGCATGCAGTATCCGCTGTTCCATGCGGTGCCCGGCATTCCACGCAGTGTCCGGTTGTGCACAGAGCCCTTGCACCGCCCTGTGGCAGCAGCAAGGAACAGGCACTGCAGCTGCAGCTGCAGCCCTGCACTGCATGGATCCCTTGTTGGGATGCAGAAGGAGCTGTAGGAGGGGGACGAGCCCTGCAGTGGGGGCTCTGGAGCAGACCCACATCCTCAGCCCCATAGTGGGGGTCCACAGCATCCAGGCCCCAGTGCTGCTCCCCCACATCCCATGGGGCTGCCATCGGGATATGGCTCATCCAAGGGAGCATCCTGCCTCCTCACCCAGCCAGGAAACACCTTGCTCCTCTCCTGCCCTTCGGCAGTGCTTTATTTATTCCCCATCCCTGTGCTGCTCTGGGGCTGGGGTCCCTGGGGTAAGGGTACCAGCTCCAAGAGTGGGATGCTCTCTGCTGCAGAGGGGGCTGGAAGCAGATGTGCCCAATGAAGATGCAGTTTTTCCTCTCTCTGGTTCTCTTTGGGTATTTTTTGTTCTTCTGTTGATTTTTCCCCTTTTTTTTTTAAGATTGTAAATATAGATAGAGCTTTATTTTGTTAATAAGACCACGAGTAACTTAACCTGTATATTTCACATACTTGTTTACAACTGTCTTCCCCACCCCTTGCCACAATAAAGATGACTTTTTGGAGCAGAGAGCTGGGTCTGGGCTTTTGGGCAGTTCCAAGGATGGGAGCTCTCAGGCCAGGTAGATGGGGGTGCTTGTTTCCCCCCTTCCCTGCCCCTCTTCTAGCACAGCCCTCTCCTACAGACTCCCTGCCTGCTTTGCACTAGTGCTGTTGCTCAGCTCTTTATCCTGCCCTTTCCATCCATCCATTCATCCATCCATCCATCCATCCATCCATCCATCCATCCATCCATCCATCCATCCATCCTTCCATGATGTGCCCCATGCAGCTCCTTCTCCCCGTCTCTCCTGGCAGCAAGTTTGGGGTTCCTCTTCCCCCCCTGTGCTCACTCCAGCTATAAAGGTCCAGTTGCACCCCCAGGGATGCTCCCCCTGCTCCTGCACCAGTCCCCACGCATCGGCCAAGCCCCATTTCCAGCTACCAGCAGCTTTTATTTTGCACCAAGACAAAACACCAGATGCAACAAGAGTCCTGGTTCTTGCTCAGGTGGGTGCCTGCACGGAGGGGACCGGCTCCTTGTCCCCATACCACTTGCTGAGCAGCCAAGGTAGGGGCAGAGAGGTCCAGTTCCACTCCCCCAGCTGATGCACAACCACAGTCATGAGCTGGACAGTGCTCAGCAGGCCAGGCTCACCCATGATGGCACTGGGAGGGGATGAAGTGCCCAGCTCATGGAATGGATGAGCTCTGTTCAACCTGCCCCTCACATGGGCACCACAGGGATGATGCACGTGTGAGGGGCAGGATGGGGAAAGCAGAGCTGGGATGCTACAAGGGAAGCCATGAAGCTGATGGCAGTCTGGGAGCAAAAGCAGAGCACAACAGAGGGTGCAGGCACCCACCAGCAAAATCACACTGGTTGGTCCCAAGCCCATGTAGCTCATGGCTGGGGCTATGATAAAGGGTCCTACGCTCAGAGACAGGATCAGTTTGACCCAGCAGAGGGGCTGCTTTGGGGCTGGGAGCCCCAGTGGCACCGAGCAGGCAGGGCAATGGGGACAAGGGGAGCAGTGAAGGCAAAGCGGGTGCATTGGGCAGCAAAAGCAACTGGGCAGCTCTGGGGACTCCTGAGCAGATGGGGGGGACCCGTTTCCCCCCCTCGGGGGCAGCACAGAGGGAGCAAACCAGGTGCCAGGCGGAGCAGCAGCGGTGCCAGCAAGGCACGGACCTGCCAAGCACCGGGGCTCGACGTTAAGGCGATGGCAAAGGCTTCCTCACGTAGACAGGGGCCTCTCCGAGGCCGTGGTCCTCTCTTAGCATCTCATGGTCCAGTCTCGGCAATGCCCAGGGTCTCCTTTCATCGGTGGCTGTGGGGCTGAGCTCTCCTCTCTTCCCCCTTCCCACCATCCGGACCTGCCCTCGCTCCCCGGCTGGGCTGGGAATGGGGCGAGGGGGATGCGAGGGCTGTGGATGCAGCAAGGACAAAATAGCTCAGGGTCTCAGAGGCTGGAGGTGCTATTTAGAGACCTGCAGGGCTGTGACCACCGGCTTCATCTTGAAGTACTGTTTAAACCTTAGCTTTGCATATCTGCCGAGGGGAGAGAGGGATGCCCATGGAGCCCCTGGCCACAGAGGATCCCTCCAGCACAGAGGGACCATTGGGATCCTCTTGCTCCTGTCATGTAACATTGACCTGCACTGTGAGTCAATGTCCCATCACCCAGCCCTGGCAGACTCACCTTAAGAAGTTAAAGTCTATGGTAGAGTACTTATCCTGGATCAGGCCCCAGCATGCCCAGAGGAAATGGGATGCCTGCAACAGACAAAACAAGGATCAGGAATGGGCACGGAGCATCCTTGCCTGCGGGATGAGCTGCTCATGCTTCTCCTGGCCAGGTCCCAGAAGCCCTATGGCTGTGATGACAGGATATTGGGCATGGCCCATGCGTTTGGTTTGATACCCTCCGGAGGCTGGTCCAAGCCAGGGAGAGGGATGCAGCAGGAAGGATGCTGAAGAGCTGCACAGCGTGCTCAGGGTACCAGCCTCTGCATCTGCAGCTCCAGCCAGGGAACCAGCCGGTGTTACATCCCAAGTTTCCAGAAGATTGGCAAATTCCATGGGCAGATAGAGCCAAAGAGGACTTCCTCATGCTTGGCTCTGCCTGGCCTCTCTGAAGGGATGCCCAAGGCCACAGCTATCAGAAACACACAGTCCCTCACCATGTGTTAGTGGGATGGCAGGCACCCAGTGCTATCTTTGACCCAGTCCATGGTCTCGGTGCCTCTGAGGTTCATCCAGGCTCTTTGTGCCCCCAAACCTCCAAGCTGGCTCCTGCACCTCCACCCTCACCAGCCTTGCTGCAGAGGAACCCACCCCATGGGCAGCCCTCAAGCGATGCCAGCTCCTTCCCATCTCCACCACTCACCAAAGAAAACTTGTTCACTTGCACGTAGAGAGCCTCCAGCTCCTCCTCGGACACCCCTTGGTCTCCCTGGGTGAGCTGCTTGTAGGCCTGCAGGTAGGAGCGCAGCCACTGGAGCTGGGTGTCCTTGCTGGGGTAGAGGCTGTAATCCACCTCCTTCACACCTATGAGGGGAGCAGCATCAGTGATGCCCTGGGGGCATGAAGGGAGCCTTTCCCCAGGGCAAAGCAATGAGATCACTGGGTTCTCCCCATGGACGACCTATGGGGCACCTTGAGTGCCACGGAGATGAGCCCAACCCACCTGCAAACTCATTGAAGTGGTTTCCAATGTCGAAAGCCTGGTAGTTGTAGCCGGTGTATTCGTAGTCTATGAAGCGAACATGCCCTGTGGAGGCAAAGGCAGGGGATGTGAGAGGGGCTGAAGAAGGCCCTGGGGAGGTGGGTGAAGGACAGACCCCTCCAGCACCGCCACAAACCTTGTGTCCCATCATAGATGATGTTCTTGCAGAGGAGGTCATTGTGGCAAAGCACAACGGGGGACCCCAGCTGGGGGAGAGTTCCCTTCATCCAGGCCAGCTCCTGTTCCAGCACCTCCAGGCTGGGCACATCCTGCTGGAGGCTGGGGAAAGGGATGGGGTGGAATCACTTCTGCTCACGGGCACCTCCCTGCTTCCCTCATCAGTGACACAAAGCAGGCTACATGAGGCCATTTTTGGTGGGGAAGGCAGGTTTGGCTGCGTGGTACCCAGGGAGATGCCACAGGGCAGCTCCCTTCCCTTCTCCCCCCAGCATCCACATCCAGCCCCAAGCCCCCAGAACTCCCAAAGCACCCAGCTAACCCCCAGGCAATGGGAATGCGTTGTGCTCTGCCAGGGCACGTACTCTCTCCCAGGTTCCAGTTCCAGAAAGAGAGCTGGTTAATGATCACCTACTTGACTTGGGTAAGGGCAGCAGCAAAGATACCTGCTGTGTCCTGCTCAGGGGACAGGTTAATTATTCGCTTGCCATCGGGTTCATTCACCTCCACAACCTCCTGGGGCTGCCCGAACCCTTTCCAGACACCCCAGCAGTCACCCAGTGTGAACCCAAGGCACCCAGCAATGGGATGAACTGGTCTGAAGTGGGAACTGCTTGCTCTAATCTATACTGGCTGCTTCAATCTATACTGGTTTTCTAGCATCTCTACCATCAGCTCAGCCTTACTGCTCAGATCCCCACTGTAAGAAGGGCTTGAGCTTGAACTTATTCTAGGGAGGGCTTAAAACCCTTCCTAGAACAGAACCCCTCCTAGAGGTTGATTATTAGAGCAGGTCTCTGGCTCAAGCCAGATCCTGCCTGGGTGCTGTTTATACGCAGATGAGAGCTATCTCTGCTCTAACACAGCACAGGTCACCCCCAAACCGGCAGCAGGAAGGGCAGTGGAGGGTGCATGGAGACACCTCCATCCCATCAGCTCTTGAGGTATGGCCATGAGTTAACTCATGGAGTAATCCTGATCCAGATGTGGCTGCATGGCTGGATCCATGACCCTTTCTAGGCCAGGTTGGATGGGGCTTGGAGCAAGCTGCTCCAGTGGAAGGGGTCCCTGCCTGTAGCAGGGGTTGGAACTGGATGAGCTTCAAGGTCCCTTCCAGCACAAACCATTACCTGGGACCTGGGGCTCTTCCCCCCGGTCCTGTGCTTGGAAGACTTAGGGATGGGTGGGCAGCGGATGCCCAAGCCAGAGCCTGGCTCTTTGGGATCCCTCTGCCTTTACCTGGGGTTGGATACCTTTGGGCTGAGATCCGTCTTCACGAGGGTGAGGTATTTGTGCAGCTTCTGCCAGAGGATGGGCTTGGGGAGGCTCCCATTGGCGTGGATGGCGTGTACCCGGGCCATCTCCTGCGCCACCAGCCTGGAGGGAAACATGGGTGAGAGGTGGCCCTGCACCACAGAACCATGGTTGGGTTGGAAGGAACCTTAAAGCTCATCCAGTTCCAACGTGGAGTTAAACCCAGCTGTGCTTTGGCTCCTTTATCACCCAGCACACCCGGGTTTGAGCACATCAGTGATGCTTGGAACAAAGACAGCAAGGGGGAGAGCTGGAAGCACGGAGCAAGCCCCTCCGTGTGGAGAAGCACCAGTTCCCCTGTCCCATGGCTCATCCCAGCCCCGCACACCCGAGGACACGGGGTCCCTGCCCACCTGAAGATGCGGGGTTCCCGCACGTGGTCGGGCCCCAGTGCGATTCCCGGTAGGAACTGGTAGCAGAGCCCATTCTGGAAGGCGCAGTAGAGGTCGGGGGCGCAGCCATGGGCACGCAGCACCTGGAAGTTCCTCAGCTCCGTGTCCCTGTCCACAAAGAGCTCCGTTTTCCTGCCATAGACACGGACCAGCACCGCGTCCACCATCCCTTCATCCGTGTAGCAGGCCACGAGCTTGTTGGTGATGCCATCGGTGAAGAGCTGCGGGGCAGAAGGGTGGCAGAGGCGATGCCTGCACATCCCTGCTGTGCCAGCAAGGTGTGGGGGGAATCTCCCCACAAGCAGACCCCATGGAGAAAGGCAGAAACAGGGAATGGGTGAAAGGAAGCATGAAGCAACTGCACCCACAGCAGCAGGGACACGAGTTTGCAAGGTCTTGATGCATGAGTTGGGGCTGTGCATGGGGCCACGAGGCTTCAGCTGCACCAAGCTGGTGCTTTGGGAGGAAATCCTGCTGTTTTCCACCTGGGAGCTCAGGAATAGCTCGGGCCAGATGTGCATCCAGCACGCTTGGCACCCGCGCGGCCCCGGGAATCGCTCCCAAAAACATCAGCGTCAATCTTTTGGCACCAAATGAAAGGGAACAAAACCACAACAGCAAACACCACGGAGCAAACACATCCCCGTCTCCTCCTCCCGACCCTCCCCGCAGGGCCGGGGCGCTGATAGGCAGGGATGTCTCTGCTGGGGACGTCTCCTGTCATCGCTCTGATGGCTCCTCACAGATGGAAAGGGAGTTTTGTTCTCTCGTCACCCCGGCTTGGCCTCCTGCCCGCGCACATGCAGGGGCTGCTGCCACCCCTGCTGCCTGCACCCCATCCCGCTGATTTCAGCTGCTTCCAGTGCACTGAGGGCTCCAGGCTCTGTCGCCCCACAGGAAACCCCTGCCCCATCACCCCCATGCAGGATGCTCAGCCCCACACGGTTCCCACGTGGCACTGAGGCCAAGCTGCACCCCGTGACGGTGCTGTCTTGATCCCATCTGGGAGCGGGTGTGATGTGGTGGAGCAGGAGGGGGGCGAGGGCACATGCTACAGCAGCAGCACTGCTTGGGAGTGGGATGTCTAAAATTATCCATCCCACTCGGCAGCTCGCGCTCCTTCCTCTATAGGGTGCCTATATATAGGGTGTACTCAAAACTCAAAGCAGTGGAATGAGAACACCCAAAGGGTGCTGATGCCCCTCGGCTGGTGAGGCATTCCTTGGACCTTCTCAAGCTGCTTTTCCCAGGGCAGATAATCTATTCCCACCACGGTGCCGTGCTTGGCTCTGTCCTCTCCTTATCCTGTCCCCAGAGGCCAGAAACCCAGCAAGCAGGAGACGTCACAACCCATCCATGCACCCCGAGGCTGGTGTCCATCAGGCTGCAGGTGAACGGCCCCACGTCAAGACACTCGGTGCTGCTTTGCCTGCGAAGCCCTTGTGCTGCTTTGTTTTGCTGCTCAGCCCCTTCCCGCAGGTTTAATGGGATTACTGAGCCTTATCCCCCCCCTTGAATTCCAGGCCACTCACTCTGGAGACTCACACGTGGTTTGCCAGCACCCTGCACACAGCATGCAGGGGCTCGCCTGGTTTATTCCAAGGAATGAACACCCTTCTTGGGAGATGCCCGGTGCTATTCCTTAATGCATCCAAAGCTCCAAAGCACAGACAGCTCTGAGCAGGGCTGCTCCCACCAGCCCAAATCCTTCCCCTCTACAGCTGTGGAGCAGCAGGAAGGGGAGAACAGGAGTGCAGGGCACCTCGTTGCCAAAGGCAGGCTAAAAACAGTGCAGTCACACTGGAATCCTCACAGGGGGTTGGCTCCAGGTCACTGCTGCTGGATGAGGGATGGAGGAGTGTGTGCTTCCCAGGGAGCACGCCTGGCTGACTCATGGATTTGCCTGTGTTTTATCCCTATGGAGGTGTTTCTGCCTAGGACAGGGCTCCAAGGATGACGAGCAGGAGCCCTGGGAAGCGGGCACAACCTGGAGCAGTGGGGGCTGCAGAGCTGCACTGCATCCTCTTCCCCATCTCCCATCCCCTGCCCCAAGCACCGGGAGGGTTTTCCATGCCCCTGCCAGCAGCTGAGCACCGGCACCAGGCAAGGAGTTGGTGTGAGCTGGGCATGGCTCCAGGGTGAGGAGGAGAGTGAAGGGGACGCTAATAGGAACCAGCTGAGGAGCAGTGCGCTGCTCCAATCCCCTCCCGAACAGCGCTTACAAGAGCAGCAAAGGGAAACCGAACTGGAGGGATCCCCCCCAGCTCCTAAGGGATTTTTTGCCCTTTCCCTTTAATTAAAAGCCCCCGCACGCACACACAAGCTGCTGTTGAACACTGACCCCCTCTGATGCCCGGAGACAGCCTGGATACCAGAGCTGGGTCCTTCCCAAGCAACCATTGCCACCGAGGTCTGTGCTCGGGGCTGCACAGAGCCCGATTTCCTGCCCCTACAACTCCGCTCTGAGGACCTCCAGCTCCCAGCTTCCTGCCCGTTGCCATCTGCCCTTTCATGTGCGTTTTCCTGCAGCCTCTTGTATTCATTTACACGGGGCTATTAACGGGTTTTTAATGGCACTCCGGAGGACACGCACACACACGTGTGTGTGTTTATGTGCACCCACCTCCACATTCCCATTGCCAGAGCGTGATGAGAGCACAGGCACCACCAGCCTTGTGCTCCCACGGCTGGGCACAGATGAGGAAGGGGAAAGGGATTCCCAGCTCAGGCAGCTGCAAGCCCCTCTCCCAATCCCTGCCAGCTCTGGACAGCCAAACCCTGTCCCATGCAAGGAGCCTGGCGCTGGATCCCAGCTCCCATCCGGATGCATGCTCAAGCCCACATAACCTGGCAAAGGTGCAAGCCAACAAGTAACCCAAGCACAACGTGCTCCCTGGAGCAGCTACTCCTGCGGGCAGCGCTGGGCGCAGGTAGGGGTGCAGCACCCGCAGGTGAATGTGGAGGGACCAGCGATGCAGCCCCCCAGCCTTCACCTACCCATGTCCCCCTGTGGGGACACACTTGCATTCAGTGACTGCTGTGGGGCTCCCCAAAACCTGCCGGGGGGTGTGCGGGTCGGTGGCATCGCACCTCTGCACATCCAAGAGTGGAGGGGAGAACTGGGAATGGGGGACAAGGCGTTGTACCCCCCTAGGCACCTCCTATAGCCCCCCCCGCTGGGTCCTACACCCACCCTCACGTGGATCTCGTACCCCCCTATAGCACCGCCCGGGGAGCCCCACAACGCCCTCGGAGGGACCCTGCACCCCCCACGGGATGATCCCCGGGATGGGGAGCCTGGAGCGGGGCTCTCCGCGCTGTCCCGTCCCCCCCCCCCCGCGGTGGGGTTTACCTTGGTCTTCACCCTGCCCGGCTCCCAGCCGGGTCTGAGCTCCCGGACCAGCCGCAGAGCCCCGGGCACGACGTCGCCCTCATCCACCGCGATGCCGAGGTGGGGCACGGCCGGAACCCCCCCGTTGCCGCCGCCCCGTTCCGGTCCCAGGCACTCGGGGCAGCGGCCGGGCGGCTCGGCCATACCCAGCTCCCCGCTCCCGGAGCCGCGGCCCATGTGCCGGGGGCTGCGGCGGGGCCGGCGGCCGCGGGGAGGAGCCGGTCGCCGTTGGGAAGCCATGAGTCACCGGCCCGCCCCCCCCGCGGCAGCGCCCGCCCGCATTGTGAGGTCAGCGGGACCCGCACCGGGATTCCCGCACCGGGATCCTGCTCCCTGCAAACCCGCACCGGGAACCCGCAGCCTGGAATCCGCACCCCAGGATCCGCACTGGGATCCGCACCCGCAGATACGCACCGGGATCCTGTAGCCGGGAAACCCGCACCGGGGAACCCGCATTCCAGGATCCGCACCCGGACACGTACCCCGCGATCTGCACCCAGGTTTCACACTGGAACCAGCACCCAGGACCCCCGCCTGGATACTTCCCCCCCCCCACATCATCCCCGGAGCCATCCCGGGGGGCTCCACACAGCCCCACATCCCTTTGGGGTCCGGGAGAAAGGGATGGAGATGCTGCACCAGAGATGCGCTGGGAGCATCCTGCGCTCCCGGAGAGCTGCGTAGCCCCTGGACCAGGCTGTTGGTGACCCACCGAGCGCTGAACCCCCCCCCCCCCGAGGGAGTTAGAAATGGCCTGGGGTGGGGGGAAGATCTTTAATTCGGGGTGCAGCACGGTCCCCCCCACGCTGACCCCACTCCCGCCAGGCTTTATTATCAGAGGAAATAACAAGCACACGTAGCTGGAACAGCTCAGTGTCACAGCTGAAACCAGCTAAATGGATCCTGGAGACGTGGGGAAAAGCATTTAAGGGAGGGGGGACTAAAATGAACCCGGCCAATTCCCCGTGGTTTTGAATACAGAGCGAGCGCTGTCAGCTTGGATCGGATGGGCATTAATTGCTCCCGCCGCTTTGCTGGGCTGAGCCTGGCCTAATTGCTCGCCCATAATCAAGACCCGTGTTAATGCGAGGGGCGGTTGCGGGTTTGGGTTTGCAGCCGCAAGGAAATTGCCCTGGCAGGCGATGAGAGGTGTTAATGGCCTGGCTTAAGGGGCCCCGGAGCAGCACCGCCAGCAGCCCAGGCCGATTTCCCTCCCAGTGCTTGAAAACAACCGGGCTGAACAGGAACAGGCATGGAACCACTAATAAAACTCCTATTTTAGGCCGACTTGACCATTTTGTTATAGGCAGAAGCCATCATGGGGCCTTAAGTCACTTGTTTCAGGTTCACATCCATCTGAGTCTCTTCCAGACCAGAACCTTTGCGGTGTAGGATAGGACACAGGAGGCTTAGTTAATTCCAAGTGGAGTTTCCCTGGATGCTGGCAGGAGCATCCCAAACATCCCTGTGAGAGGCAGCTGGTGTCAGCCTGCGCTTGGGGCAGTGCAGGGAATTCATCAGCAGTCAGCACTGGCTGCAGGAAGCAGGGATGAAATGATCCTGCAAGATCAGTGCCTTGCTCCAGGCTCTGCTCCAGAGAGTGCTGTGCTCTGCTGCACCAGGACGGTTCCCAGCACAGGGCTTGGATGTGGACCACAGCACCCGAGCTGGTCAGCCTGGAGATGACCACCCCTCAAATCTTGGTTTAGGTCTGTGTTCCTCACTACAAGAGGGACATTGAAAGGGCACCGGAGCTGGGGAAGGGCCTGGAGCACAAGTGTGATGGGGAACGGCTGAGGGACCTGGGGGGCTCACTCTGGAGAAGGCTCAGGGGGGACCTGATGGCTGCCTCCAACTGCCTGACAGGAGGATGGAGCCAGGAGGGGCTGGGCTCTGCTCCCAAGGAACAAGGGATGGGACAAGAGGAACCGGCCTCAAGCTGCACCAGGGCAGGGTTAGATGGAGCTGAGGAACAATTCCTGCCCCAGAGGGTGCTCAGGCATTGGAACAGGCTGCACAGGGCAGGGCTGCAGGGACCGTCCCTGCAAGTGCTCACACACCATGGAGATGAGGCCTCAGTGCCATGGGTCAGTGGTGGCCTTGGCACTGCTGGGAACGGTTGGACTGGATGGGATTAAAGGGTTTTTCCAACCTCATGGGTTCAGTTCAATGAGGGCTGCAGAGTGCTGGGCACAGGGAGCTGGGCACAGGGAGCTGGGCTGGAGCTGGAAGCACCGCAGCTCTCCCGTGGAACTGGAAATGTCAGCCCCCATCGGGAGCACTGCTCTGCCCTTCCAGCTGGCACGGGGCTGGCGGCACCAGCAGGCTCCCGCTGAGCATCGCTGCACCCGGCCAGGACACGGACAAGCCTCCAGTTGTGAGCTGGAGCCAACAGGGAGGGAAACAGACCCAGGCGCTGGGATAGACTCAGCCACCCCCATCAGACCCACAGGGACCTTCCCCTCCCCATGGTTCT